TTCCTTTTCCTTTTTCTTTTTCTTTTTCTCTTCTTCTCTTTTTCCTTTTCCTTTTTCCTTTTTTTTTTTTTAAGATCCACAACACAGTAGGGTTTTCTCATAATCCTATAGAACATAACTTTTTCTTTATATAATACTTTCAAAAAAAAAAAGAGGCACAGTCGAGTTTGAGGATCATAATAGGTGCTGTTAAGTTCAAGTGAGAAGGTTACATATATTTTATATCTCGTGTATACGTTTGTCATTTTTATTTCATTTCTGGATAGTGTAAACTGTGACCAAAATAGACCCTGAGATCCTATATTAAAACATTTTATTTTATACCGCTAATCAGAATAACTGATACATACAAATTATATTTAGATTAGAGTTAAAATGGAATTATATTAGGGATGATGCTAATCCACATTGAGGAAAACAAACCAAAATGCAGCACTTAGTTGTAGCTAACTAATATGAGGCAGTTGGTATAGGAAAGAAGGACTATCTCAGTGGTTCAATTTTAAATTTCAGAGCAGATGAGGAACAGTAAACTATGCTCAATGAATGTGAAAATTGATGAAAATTCAAAGATTTAAAGTTCAGTTTTTAATGGGTTTGTAAAAGATAACACTGTTTTTAAAAAAGGTGTTATTTAATTCACATCCAAGAATTTCTGAGCCAGTTGTTTATCAGCACTGATTCTATAATGACATAGAATCACATAATATTTTGAGTTGTAAGGGACCTCTGAGGGTTGTATGATCCCACCTTCTGCTCAGAGAGGCCACCTTGGATCAGTTGGCTCAGGGATTGCCTGGGTGAGTTTGAGTGCCTCCTAAAACAGAGATTTGGCACCTTCTTGGACTACCTATTCCACTGTTTGTCTAGTCTTGTGAATTTCTTCCTGGTCTAATTGGAATTTCCCATGTTGCAGCTTGTGCCCAGTGCTTCTCATACTTGCAGTAAGCACTTCCAAGAAGAGTCTGTCTCTGTCTTCTCTATACCTTGCTTTTAGGCAGTTGAAGTCCACAGTAAGATTTTACTTTAGCCTCTTAGGACTGATCAGTCCTGTTTCTCTGACTCTCACATCATGCTGAAAGATGTGATATAGCTGCCTACAGTAACATAGTTTTGTGGTGTTCATACCTAATGAAGCTCCTGTGCTTAGCTTAGGAAGTCTGGTTTATTTCATAGATGAAATCACGCCATGCCCACCAAACTTGTGTTGGCCTTTTGGTACTTTTATGTTCTTGATGACTCTTAAACTTTCATGCAAAAAATACTTACTATTCCTGTCTATAGTGACAGAAAGCAGCTAGATAGAAAGTAACTGTGCAGAAATTATATGCTCTTTTTATTTCTATTTGATTTTCTTTGGAGGGGTTGGGTCATGAATAAGTCACTAAAATAAATGAACCTCAAAGCAGTGTTAACAGCTTAACATATTTTAAGAATTATGTCATGACATTCTTTTTAGCATTGGGTGTTGTCCTGAGCTGCTAATAATAAAATGTTTTAGCAATGAATAAAAATGGATTCTATTTTAATCAGTGCGAATATTCCAGGGTGCATAAGCTCCTCTGAAAACTCACAGGATCAAATTCTGCCCTTGAAGTCAAGTAAAAGGTTTGCATAGAAGTCAGAAGACAGGCTTTGGTCCACAGTGTTTTGCTTGCCTTTCATTTTATTTTTGATGGTCCAGACTGGGGGAGTTCGTAAGGGAAAATACTGTGGCAGAAAAATCTTATTTAAAGATGTGTTGGATTCCAGAGAATATTTTAATATGCAGAAACATTTTTCTTAGTCTGTTGTGCCAGTAATTACTGTGCTGTGTGTAGGCAAGAAAAAGCCTTTTAAAGAAACAGGCCAGTGCAGATGATCATCATGCCTTAACAATAGGCTCTACATCAGTTTAGACTTCAGGGTATAGAACCAGGAGGGTTCAGAGGGTCTTTCAGCTTTGTTGATGTGCTTCTGTGGTTCTGTAGCTGTTTCTCTGAAGTTTCAGTCTCTGCCATGGCCTCTGCACTCACCCAGAAAGTTGTGGTTCAGCATTTTGGGTCGCGCTCAGCCCAGGGCTGATGCAGTTAACCTGTTGGGCAGGTGGGCTGGGACAGCACAATAGGCTTTCATTTTTGAGCTCTTCCTAGCAAGTGAGATCAAATAGCTCATGGCATATAGATCAACTGTTTTTTTTTTTTTAATTTTTTTTGTCCTGTAATTTATTTTACCATCTTGCCTTATATATACATTACATTTGTAACACTTGGAAGTTACAGAATGTCGGCATCACAGTCTGACTTTGGCTGCTGTGATTGTGCACATGATGGTAACAGTCTTGTAATGAAAAAGAAATATAACTTTTTGCATGCATTCCTTTCCTCATTCAGTCTGAGGAAAGATTGAGGACTAGTCATTTGGTACATTTTATCCTTTTTAGTGTGTGATGTTACAGTTAACATAGTATTTCTTTAGCAATGGAGCCTATTTGGTGCTCCTGTTACAGTTCCTAACATTTTGTGGAATCTTAAGATACTATCTTCTCAATATCTTTGTTAGGTGCTGGGGATTAACGCACACTACATCTTATGGTTGGCAGATTGAAGCACAGAAATAAAAGCAAATGTTGTCCAAGGTATCAGCAAACTTAATGCACTTAAACTGAGAAATTTAGAAAACAGTGTTGTTTCTAGTATTTGTATACAAAGCCATATTCCTTATCCTCTTGAAACTGGAAGTATTTATGACTTCTTAAATTTGACCCTTGGTTTCAGAAGTCAGAAGTGAAGACCACAAAGTGTCCATCTGTGAAAAATTTGGTTTGTAGGATTTGATTTACAAGAGAACTCCGCAATGTGGGGATACAGTCTGTTTCTATATGGTGATTTTTAAGCTTTCTCAAGCATGAAACTATTTTGTATATATCAGCATTCTGCCTTTTCTCCAGATATCAGTCTACCCTCTTCTAGTTTAAAGCCAGTAGCCCTTGTCCTATCTCCCACTATACCAAAAAACTGTATTTTTTTTTTCTTCTGTGAGTGGTTCTATTTCAATTCAATTTTTGTATTACAGCCTGCCTTTTTATCTGTTTTAGAGTTTGCAGAAGGGAGTCTATATTAAGGGTAAATGGGCAGATTTCATCCTAAGATTTTTTTTTTATATCTTCTGAGTACTTTTTTTGTGATTACATGGGAACAGTAATTTTAATTTAGAGGATTTTTATTTTTTTTTAATATTGGATGAAAAAAACACCAAAACCTGCCAACAATCACTTAAAACTCTGTTGATACTGAATTAGAGAGTGGCAAAGTAGTACATTTTGCCAGTATGCAACATCAAAAGAACATGGTGCATTACAGTTGGCTCCAATTTCTCAGTTTTGATAATTTAGCAGAGAAAATGTTTTTATGGAATAAAAGCCTTTATTTATTTTATGCTAAACCTTGATTTATTTGTGCCCACAATTATTTTATGATCTGTGCTGATACAGAGCACTGACTTCACTGCTGTCCCTGAAGCTTGGGATGTGGCATATCTGCCTATGCCGTGGTTACACGCCTAGTCAGCCTGTTGGAGCTGTAAGGAATAGCAAGAAGGACATAAGGGTTGACTCTTCATCCTGTTCAGACTATAAAGTAAGAGGATGTATATACATGATTTTTACAGATGTGTGTATATAGGCAAGTTTTCACAAGAAAGTACTAAAGTGGCCTTTACTACCAGCTGTTGCTCCCAAGTGAATTTCAGATCTGTGCTCCATGAAGCATTAAAATGCTAGAGCTTTTTGAAAAACAACAGTAAATACTTTGTTTGCTAGGTAGACAGTTTTCCCAAGTCTAACTAATAGAAATTATTGATATAAAAAAATCACTATGATGAACAGTCATTTGTTTTATAAAACTTTATCCTTGATAGCTTTATTTTGTATAAGTTAAAAACATCTGATAATATATGAAGTGTTGGGTTAAAGGTGTTCATCTTTCTACCATTTCTGTGTATGATGATTTAGGAAGGACTTGGAGAATTCTCATGTAAATGCCTACAGATGCAATTGGTAATTCATAGCATTCCCTTATCTCCCTCCCTCAATTAATAACCTTGTAATTACAATTTCTAGTTTTGCTATGATAATGACAGGAGTATTTTCCAGTCCATATCTGTTTGCTGGTCCAGAACTGAGTGAAATGAATATTTCAGGAGCAGATTTTAATCAGTTTAAACACAGCAGAGAAATTTAAATTTGAGTGGCTCTGTAGTGTTAGGAAAATCTAGGTTATGAGTGATAAAAATGAAAAATGTTAGGTTAGAAGTGATAGAAAAATATTCTGGTCCAAACTTCTTCTCAGAAATCTAATCAAAGTTAGGTTGTGTAGCTCAAGATGTTGTCCAGTGGGAGTTTGACATTCCAGGGATGGACATTCCTTAGCCTCTTTGGGCAGTCTGTTCCAGTACATACTGTATTCTGGTTTTGGCTTGGTGAAGAGTTGCTTGCTCAGGCAAGGAAGCTTGCTGCTGCGTCTGGACATCATCTTGCTCATGGGATGAGCCATACATGTACTTTAATGAGCTTGTCTTTGACTGACCGGCTGTCACGTGCTCTTTTGTCCTTCGGCATCCCATGTGAGCCTACTTGCCAGTGCCCCAGCGAAGCCATTCTTTGCTCTCACACTGTTCAATGTCATTTTTTATTTGCCTTCCTCACTTCCTTTAGTTTTTCTGTCACACATAAATGCTTATTACTAATACCTGTGAGTTGCCACAACAGGGTCAGGGACTGTTTGCAAATAAATAATAAGTTTGGTAATCTTTTAGGTGGGGGACCTTGTGTACATGGATTGCTTATCTGAAAGTAGTCTGCTTGTGATATTAAATGTCTCTCCAGTTCTCTGAGTTTTCAAACCCCCATAGAATTTGTGTTTTAAAACCTATATTTCTAAGTAGCAAGACTTTCATGCAATATATTTTATCTACTATGTTAATATTAACTGTTTTTCATCATTGAAATGCCTCTTTTTCAGATTACGTATTTCAGTCTGTGGTATTATAATAAGCAGAATCAGCGCAGATGGGTAGATTTGGACAAGCCTCTGAAAAAGCAGCTGGACAAATATGCCTTAGAGCCGACTGTGTATTTCGGAGTAGTGTTCTATGTGCCTACTGTTTCTCAGCTTCAGCAGGAGATTACCAGGTAAACTTCATACATGTGTCTGTAGTTTTGCTTTCAACATTTTGAAATATTTGGCAAATTTAAAAATTGCCTGCTTCCCCCACACACCTCTCTACAGAAGTGAAAATTATTACTTTAGGCAGAATTTATGTTCAAACTGTGTATTTAATTCCCCTTTGAATATTTAAAATATGTGATCTTAGAAAGGTATTGGAAACTGTTTCAGTAATAGGCTTTTTTCAGCAATACTTGTATGATTAGACTTTTAATTGTTTTCCTCCCTGTATGTTTGTCTTTGGAGTTGGTTTTTTTTTGTTTTTTTTTTGGTGGTGGTGTTTTGAAGAGCCATCTGTTGCTTTTGGGGAAATCCATGCTGCACAAAGCAGCATTTAATTTAGCTGTTCTTGCCTCTATTTTGCTTTCAGTACTTTATGTACTTTCAGTACATTGGCAGACTACAGCCTAAGTTTCAGTTTGTGATATATTTTTTTTTCTTTGTTTATCACTGGGCAATAAGGATGGATGTTAGCTTTGATATCATATGTCCATTTCTACGGTGAATTCGGGGAACATCACAGAAGTGGTGCTGACTGCAGGGGGGAAGTGAAATTGAGCATATAGTAGCCTGTTATTCCTATGGGCCTATACATTGGCTTGTAGTGACCTTAATGTGTATAGTTTTTCTGATTTAGTTATTTTTTTTTAACAGGCAAATGAGTACAAACTGGATTACAATCATATATTTGTTATTTCAGAAATCTCTGTTTGTGTTAATTAACCCATTCAAGCTGGTAACTTCAAGCTGGTCCTACTCTGAGTGAGGAGTTGAACCAGGTGATCACTGAGGTCCTTTCCAGCGTAATTTATTCTGTGGTTACATGAAACTGTCTTTATATACTCTGGTGCTAGAATACCTTTCCAGAGACCTTTCCCAGTAATTGTGGTATGAAAGTTTTTCAGGGAGGTAAGCCTTTTCATGCAGACGATGGTGCTTTAATGTGTTGCTCAGTGCCTCACAGCTTTAGGGTTCTTTCTTATGTGTAATTCCTGTGTTAATATTTTCTTTCTAGAAAAGTGCTAAGTGTGGGAGCTTTCTCTCAGCAATTTTACTGGCTTAAAAAATAATTCTTTTGTCTTCTTTTTTTTAGTCTTTGGTTCAGATTCTCTGCTTGTTGGTATGCTAGAATGCATTGCAGTAAGATACATGTTGTGTTGCATTGAATACTACATTGCTGGAAAGACCTTGCATATTCTTCTCTGGCATTAAAGAATTTAATGTTTATGCTGGAGCTTTAATAGCAGTTTTGCAGTGTGTTGCCATGTAGAAGGGAAGAATTCATTTGCCAGCCTTATATTGAAGTCCTAGAGAATGGCACTTGCTTTGATTTCCCATAGTGAGAGTCTGGATTAGTTTCAGAAGTCAGTGGGGTTTTTTCATGCCTTTTCAATATAAAGGAGATTGAGCATGTTGAAGCAAATTTTGTTTAATGTATACCAGGAAATGGAAATGAACAAAAGGGATGGTATTTGTACTATCACAAGGTAGTGTCAAGATTATTCATCTGCATATTAACTTTTAATAACAGTTCTATGGATGGAGCTTATGTTCTACTGCTGGACCGGGAAGATTTATTTCACCAAATGCCTCGATATGTGGTGGCTTTTTCCTTCCCTTTTTTCTAAGGCCTGGGTTTAGGCCCAGCTGTTCTTGTGTGCGTTGTATAAGGATGTTAACTACTGTCATACAGCATACTGCTCTTTTGTAGCAGGATCCAGAAGACTCTAGCTAATATTTATAAATTGTCACCTTATTTAAAAGGCTGGTTAGATAGTGAGGGAAGAAAGTTGCGTTTTAGCCTGATGCAAATCTGTGTGTAGTTCACCTGACTATTCTAATCCCTGAATGCTTCCATGTTCTTGGTATTAAAGCCTTACTTCACAAGAGTTAATGTACAATATGAGGAAGTTAAGCAGCTTTTAAAACTAGACTTATTGAAGACAAATGTCCTTCTTGGCAAAGTGTGTGTTATAATGGCATTTTGAGGTGTTTTAGGCTCAAAATAGGGTGTTTTGCGGGTGGCTGAGAGAGGCAGAAGAATTCAAGAAACTAGTGGTTCAGTGTGTGGACAAATGGTACACCTAGTAGTGGTTGCACATACAAGAGATGACCCAGGAAAAGGTCAGATTAAAGGAAAAAAAAAAGGCGTCTTGAAAGTAAGAACAAAATGTACTTGGAAGTTGTAATGCAGAAATGAAAGCTGCTATTGTGATTGAAGGGATGTGCAATGTCGGATCTGTTAAAAGGGAATGCAGCAGTACAGCAGCAGTGCATTGAACAACACCAGTGTGATGAACATTGTAAAGAGGAGATAATAAAAATGCTAAAGAAGAGGTAAAAATAATAAAACAATATTAGGGTATGGTAGTAGGTAGAAATTGTGGAGATTCTTTGTTTCAAGAGGTAGCAGTATTTGATTCTGCAATGATGTATGAAAGCTAAGGGAGTAGCTAACAAAGACTGTGAAGGGTCCAAATGGTGAGGAAGATTGCCCTCCACAGAAACTGGGAAATGCAGAGAGGAATAGGAAATGCAGGCATGTTTATCTGCATTCTCTTTAAATTAAGCAGACTGTATTAGCTTTTTCTTTTTTTCTTGTGTAGGTATCAGTATTATTTGCAATTAAAGAAAGATATCTTGGAGGGCAACATTCCTTGCACGCTGGAACAAGCAATACATCTGGCTGGTTTAGCTGTTCAGGGTAAGTTGTGCTAACTAGCTAACGCTGCATTAGAAGCTTTGCAGATGTATTTTCTATTGCAGTTTTTCTGTTTATCACTTAAAGACTGAATTCCATAAGTTACAAAATACTTACTCCTTAGAACTTCCTTGCATATGCTGAAGAGGGGGAACAGTGGGATCAGTGGGCCTGAACTTGTGGCATTTCTGTGCAGCCCTCAGAGGTGTGCCTGGGTGTCTAACATGGAGTTGGGTTTGAATTAGACATTAGAGTTCCTTTGGGGGCAAAGACTTCAGTTGTCTGCTTACAGACCTTTCATCTGATTCTGTTAATAAAGATGCTTTATTCTGACATGGTAACAAAAGAAACAAACATGCTTTGCTAAATCAAACTTGAATGTACTTGTATCTCCACATTTTCTCCCAAGTATCCTAGCGTGTAAGATTATTTCAAGTTAGTATGCAAGACTGTTAACAATTTCTGTGTTCAAATAGCTCCTGAAGACCCATTTCTGTGATAGCTACATGAAAATAGCCGCTTTATTTTTCCTGACTGGAGTCAGATGGGATACAATAGACACCAGAGAGCCACCAGTTCTAAGTCTATCTGCATTGGTCATGTCTCGTATTCCCTGCTGACATGCTTGTTAGATCTTAAATCTCTCAAAATAAAAGTTTTTTTAATGGCAGCAGCTTTGCATAGTGTTTGTATATTGCTACACAGCAATTGCCATTGCCGTACATCTAACAGCAGATGTAAATCTGCCAAAAATTGAAGGGGACTTAAAATCATTGGCAGTATGTGTGACTTGGGTTTTTTTTTTTTTATTACATTTGTTGGTAGTATCACATTAAATATGATGTCTATGCTTTTTGAAAATGTGGTTACCAGTAGAGTATGGTGAACTGTGTTAGTACCTTGTTTGTATAATGCATCTGTTTAATGAATTTGTGAATCTTTTTAATCTAAGACAGGATATAATGGTTTTCAACTGACAAAATCTTGCTTTGTTATTTCCATATCTTTGGACAGTGTAAATGTCTCTCTGCTCAGTGAGTTGTTTATAAAAATGTTCCAATATAATCCTGTTTCCAGATGGAAAATATTTATCCCTTTAGCTTTCATATTCCTTTTCAGTCTCGTGTAAGGGAGAAAGTGTGTGTGATTATAAAGCAGTGAAAAAACAAGTCAGAAAAAGCACAGGTAAATTAGTGTGCTCCAATGACAGCAGTCACTTATACGAGGTAGGTGGGTTAATTTGAGCTGGTGAACAAACAAAAGCAGTTGTTTGCTGTTTCAGGTGAACTCACTTCAAGAATAATCCATATTTTAAATAATTATCATAGGCTAATTCTAAACACTGCTATATCTCAAGTGCTGTGTTGGTGTAGCATGTCACAAGTCCTCCCCTTTCATCGCAAATAACTTGCATATTAATTGTTAATCCTGAATACAAATTTGGTTCCTAATGTCTCTAAAATTATACTGTTATGGATGGATCTGTACTCTTGGGGTTTGTGTTTATATTTCTGGAAGCAGCTGTTCCATACTGACTGCTGTTTCACAGTTTCTCCTGTGAGACTGGTACATAGCTTTTACAATTTAGACTGCTTTATTTCTCTTCTTTGAAGCACTGGTTAGCTTTTTCCTGGAAATAGAAAAAGAGGCAAATTCTTTGGGATGCCATTTGGCATGACACAAATTCAAAAATGTTATTAAAATCAAACCTGTTATTAAGCCCCAGAGTCTGGGAAGGCTTCTAGGTCCCACTTTCTGTGCCTCTGTGCAGTGCTTTGAGTGCAGCAGTGTATTGGCACTATTCTGCAAGTAATTTAAGTATCTGACAGGAGGGAGTAAAGAAGGTGGAGCCAGACTTTTCTCAGGCAGTGGGTGCAAGATGAAATATATTAAATTCTGTCTAAATGTGAGAAAAGTTTTCTGTTGTGAGAGTGGTGAGACACTGGAAACAGGTTGCTCAGAGAAGCTGTGAAATTTCCATCTGATGTATTCAAAACTTGACCAGAGAAAGCTTTGAGGCAGTGTGCTGTAGCTGACCTTGCTTAGGGCTAGACCTCCAAAGGCCCCTTCCATCCTCAACCACTCTGGGATTAAACAATTAAACAATTAAAACCCCAAGGAACTAAGAAACTTGGAGCAACACTCTGATTTTTTTATCATTTCTCCTTTCCTGTCCACAAGAAACCTTATCAGTTTTTCAGAACAAGGGTAAAAGATGGGATGTGTTTTTAGATTTCCTCATCATAAACATTACTGGTTAGTTTGTTGCATTGTTTTGATTTCAAATCATAGTTCAGTAGGATGGAGATTTGCTACTTGGAGATCCTGCTGCAATTAATTGGGTATTCAATCATTTTATTACAAATGTTTGAATCCAAGAATTTTTTTATTTTTTAGCTGATTTTGGAGACTATGATCAGTATGAATCTCAGGAGTTCCTACAAAGATACGCTTTGTTTCCAGTGGTAAGTACTTACTTTAAATTGATAAATATAAATTCTTAAATTGATAAATTTAAATCTTTCTTTAGATTGGTAAATGCAAGTTATTATTAAAGACTCCATAATCCATCCACCTTACTGCTCCCTAGATTGTCCAACTCAGGAAAGCTTTTGTTTGAGACTGGAGTGAGTCATATTACACAGAAGCAAAGATGCTACAAGTTCTTTTTAGTTTCATTGTTACACTGAAAAAAAGGTTGGGGTGGAGATGGGAAAGTGAGTAAAACTTCAAAACAGTACTTGCACATTTTGGTTTTGTTTGTGTGCATATTACAGCATTTAAGCTACAGGATTAAAGTGGAGGGATGTCTTGCCAGTGTCAAGAAACTATAACTAAACTTAATTTTGTAGAACTTTTGTATTTCACTCTGTAAATACTATCTTACCTTAAGGGTTGGCTACAAGAAGAAAAAATACTGGAAGAAGCAACACAGAAAGTTGCCTTGCTACATCAGAAGTACAGGTAACATTTCTAACACTCTTCATTACTTAATTTTGATGTGATTACTTCAGTAGCTCAGGACATTGGGAATTAGTTGGAGTAATTTCACGTCCCATTTAAATGAGTTTTTCACTGATACGCCTCTATTAAAATTACAGTTTGTTTTTTTTCTTGCTGAATGAAAGTGAAAGGAGAACAGAATGACCGGTAAAATAAACGAGAGGATTCTGCTTGAAAATTAAGAATACAGACACAGTTGAATAGTATGGCTTCATCTGCATGTTTCTGAAACTTGTTACAGGAAGTTGTGACCCCAGTAAGCATGTTCCTTGATAAACAACATTGGCAGATACTGATGGCAGTAGAAATATGGAGACAGTTATTGTTCCAGAATGCTTATGATCTAAAATAAAAAGTAGCTAAGATGCAGTAGTTCAAGACAAAGGAAAGTAAATTCTCTGTTGTCAACTCATCAGTGAAAAAAATGTTTGTGATTATGTGAGTAATACTGATTATTTCTTCCTGTGTTGTTTTAAAAGAGTAGTTTGAAAATTTCGGATCTGTTTATCCTTGAAATACTTTCGTAAGAAGATTGTATGGTTAAGGTTCAGCAAAGAAAACTTAATCTGCATAACATTAGGAAAAAGTGAAGAAACAGAGGTTGATGATTGAAAAAGTATTGAGAGACGTAAGAATCAGCATGACGACATTTTGCAGACAGACCTAATGTCTTTTGTGAGATCAGCTGAGGTAGGCAGGGAAACAAGTTTTTAATCCCTGTGACACTACTGTAAGTCTGTGAGAAAACTATCTTTGCCAAGTGGTCTAATTGAAAAAAAAATTACCAAATTACCTTTACCTACAGATCTTCTCATGTTTTCAAACCATTATAGCTAAAACTCAGCATTTAAAAAATGAGATTCTCCTTCCTGAGATGTGAAGCATCAAACTTTGTCTTGGTACTTAACATGTATACTGCAATAGGAGAAATTCAGGTCCTGAACACATGCCCCAGAAAAATCAGTCTGATACAGTGATAAAATCTGGTGACAATGATGGATGTCAAGAAGAATGTGATACTTGTCTGCCATAAGCAGAGATTATAATTTTAACTGATCTTTGTTGCCATTTACCCCTAGAAATGCCTGAGATAAAGAGGTTGCTAGAATCAAAGTGTAACAGCTGAGACAAATATATCAGCCTTTGGGATAGATAAAAATAGCATGATAGAGGGTTGCCTGAATGTCTTGTGGATGCTTTTCTAGCTTTTGACAGTGTCAGTCAGAGTAGAACAAAGGTGATTTTTTCTTACTGACAGTACTAGCTGATTGTTATTTCCATTTGTAGAGGCCTTACTCCTCCTGATGCAGAAATGCTATACATGCAAGAAGTAGAGAGAATGGAAGGCTACGGTGAAGAGACCTATCCTGCAAAGGTAAACAGGGCTTTAATCGTTGTCTCAGTTCCTTTTTCCCCTATGTAAAAGGGGTTACTTCCTGCCAAAAAGAAATAAAACCCTAAACCACACCTCCCTTTTTCTCCCCCAGAATTGTTAAAGCAGTTTCTTCTCATGTAACTTTTCTTTCAAAGACTTTTTTCTGTATTTGCATAATATTTTGCAACTTCATACAGGACAGCCAAGGAAGTGACATATTCATTGGAGCGTGTCTTGATGGTATCTTTGTGAAACACAAAAATGGTCGTCCTCCTGTTGTGTTTAGGTTAGTATTGTTCTTTCTTAAAATAACTTTGTGCACTTCACATTTTAGGTGTGTTCCTCGCTAGCATGAATGTGAGGAGTGTGATAGATGTGATGTGTTTTATTAATTTGATAAAACCTGAACCTTGTCGTCCTCGTGCTACAGTGAATACTTAGATCCATTGGAATTTTTCAAAGTATTGACTGCAGGATGAATCTCTTTAAGCCAGATTAATTCAAAGAGATGAACATTTAATGTAAATTCCATTGCAAAACATTTGTGGAGTCAAAAAGGAACAATTCTGTATGCATAAAGTATCTTAAGTCCTGAGGTGGGCACATCATGTTACTTAGAAATATTCAATTGCAAATTATCCAGGAGTTCCTTTCATATATTACATATAAAAGAAATAGAGGAGAGTCACTTGGTAACATTTATTTCATTATTTTGAATTAATACATTGTTTTAGTTTATTATTTAATATTCTGAAGTTAAATTGTAGATATAGACTTGTATGCAGCTCACCTACCAGTTAAAATTCAGTCTTCATGTGAAACAGCCTGGTTCCCACTGACTTGAAGCATCTTGCTTGGGCATCTTTGGATAGAATTTGGAATAAATTTTTAAAAATACATATTGATAGTTTGGGGTTTGGTGTTTTTTTTTTTTTTAAATCTTAGTAAGTTGTAGTTATTGCTAGAGCAAGGAAGGCTTTATACTTAGTGAACTTTAATCCTCTAGAATAGAATTATTTGGATGATTATGAACTGAAACTTGAAATCCTGTGATCCAACAGTTACTGGAAATCATGGTGAATTCCAGGGGTTAGAGAAGGTAGCAACTGTGTTTCCTGCTCTTAGGGGCTTTGTTTAATATAATTATTAAATACAGTACTGTTAACAGTTGTTCACAAAATTCTGTCTCTGCTCCTGAGAGGAGAGCCGAAGCCAAGCTCTTTTTAGTTGCGTAGAGTGGTAGAAGTACCCTACTCTGCTTTTTTGCAGAATGAAGCAACAAAATCTCTGCTGACGGGTTTTCCAAGCACACAAGGGGAGAGAAATAAAGCTCTGTCCATTCATTTAAGATAATTTCCAAAGAATTGTGTATTCAGGGTCTGTGTAAACATAAGACAATACTTGCACATTGGAAAGCATCAGAGAGTATTCACATTCTAATTTCAGGATCTAGTTTTCTGCTCTTTGCTTATTTGTTGTGTGACTGTGGGCAGTTCTGCTGGGGACAGATATACCATGGTTATTTGGGTGGCAAAAAAGCATAGACAAGCACAGTTTACAAAGGCTGGTTTATACTCCAGATTAATTCAAGTAATTTCATAATTATGTCCATAAATGCCTATGAACCGAAGCCTTAAAATTGCCTTTGTTATAAATCAGAATGGGGACACTACTGTTTCTCGACCTCACAAATCTGATTTTCAGTAACTATAGAAAATCCTATCAGCCCCATCTATGTGATGAAAAGGGAAGTCATATAAACACCTTTAGGGAGACTTGTGTGTAGATGGTGCTTTTTTCCTGTGTTTGTGTACTGCAGAATATTCTTTTAATAATCAATGATATAGGCTTTATTTAAACTAACACAATACTAATGATCTAACCACATCTGTATTTGACAAGAACTTGAAGAAATAAATGGTATTATATTTCTTGCAATTGAAGTTTTTCTCATATGTCAATATGCAAGAGAGTTCTTGAAAATATGTATAATCATGCCTTAATGGCTTTGTTGAGTGTAGATTTCCCCCCCTCCCATCCCCATCTCCTAGAGTGTATGGTTTGCTTTCAAGCACTTGGGACATTATAATTTACTGATAACTAAATTTGTCTAAATTTGATTAAAAAAAAACCCAAACCTAACAACAAAACCACTTGAAAGAATTTCAAGTGGAAGACAAGTAATAAACTTGTTAGTGTACATGTTGCACGTCTTCAAAAGTGTCATATACATATTTTAATTCAGCAGTCATTGAATGGATATGGAAGTGATGGTCTGCAACTTGTTCAGATAGATTGATGAACTTTTTATTTGTCCTCAGTTCTTTATCTATATTCTTGGTGGGTATTCTGTTCTTCAGTTGCGTTTTCTGTGGTTTGAAAATCAGAGCTTGAGAGTCATGTTCTTCTATCATCTCCTTTGTTTGCAGGTGGCATGATATTGCCAACATGTCCCACAACAAATCCTTTTTCGCATTAGAGCTGGCAAACAAAGAAGAGACAATCCAGTTCCAAACTGTGAGTAGATTTTTACTTCTGTTTTTTGCACTAAGGCATCAGTAAATAAAAACAAATTAAGACTGCTAATTTAACTCAAAGGACAAAACCTTCTTTTTCTATATTTAGCAACTTTGAACTGTATGAGTAAGTCCAAAGTAATAATTCTTTCTCTGGCTAGCTTTCTGCAGGAAGGCATTAAAAATCTGTCCTTTGATATTTAGTACATTGGCAAGTTTGGTTCAGATGGTCATAAACATTTTCATCCATTCTAGAAAAATTCCTAGCATGTTTTTCTGACTTTTAAACTAGTGGCATTGAAGGATAAACATCTTAGAACTTTGCTGGAATGGGCCACATCGTTCCTTGCAGAAGTAATTCTGTGTAGCATCTGCAAGTTGCCTTTGTCAGAAAGACAGCTGTTGACAATCTTATGGCATGATAGACATATACTGTAAACATACAATGTTAGTTTTATAGCTGATGAGTGTCTTCAACAAAAGGCTTCTACATTCAACTTTCATAAATCTAATAATACAGGCTAGAATGAGTGTTCATATACACAAAGAACAGCTTAGGGAGAACCTGGTGACAGTAATGAAATTATATTAAAATTAAATTAGTCAATGATAATTTAATTTGAAAAATTTCAGTGGCTTTTCTGAAAGCAGGTAAAGGGTATGCATATTTGGCTTAATATGCAAATTTTGGTTTTGTTTTTTTGGCAGGAAGATATGGAAACAGCAAAATATGTGTGGAGGATGTGTGTGGCTAGACACAAATTTTACAGACTAAATAAATGCAGCCTGTAAGTAGAATACATTACCAGAACTCTCGGTGCCCTTGAAGCTTCCATAAGGAAGTGAAATCTTCTATAACCTCTGTGATGTCTTTACTGTCCTTTTCAGATGGTAGAAATTAACAAGTTGGGGTTTTTTTTCTTTAATCTTTTTTGACAAAATACTTCCTACCAGTTTCTCAAATGTGTTCTGCTTTATACAGAGGACGTTATTAAACACTGAAATCTTGACAAAAGTAACAGTGTTTGGCCCGTGCTGCTGGACAGGTTTTAGTTGCTTCAGGGGCTACTCTTACTAGAATGTTTGTGGGATTTTGGCCTGGGTTTGGGTGAACTGCTCTGAAAGGGCACTCTAGAGGCCTTTAGAAGGGCGGGAAGTGTATGTGAAGCACTCCTGAAATGTGCTGGATTGACAGCTGAGAGGTATGGTGTCCTTTGGATATCCATGGAATCCGTATAGCTCAAGTAGCACCAGTGCAAAGTAAATTTAATACAATTCATCAAATTAAATTTAAATGGGCTGATCTCCAGCTTGTAAATCAAGGACTGGAATTTTAGGTACTCCACTGGTACAGCTTTCCTTCAGTTCAGTTATTTCAGTCAAAGACCAGAGAATTAGACCCAGTGAATAGTCTGTCATTAAAAAAGCATGATTCACAAATGTTCATGGGGTTCAGGATTGTATGGGAGGAGATACCTATGAGGGGTTGGTCCAAATTTTCCTCAGGCCAGTGGAAAGATGATGGAATATTTTGTACTACAGTAACTCTTTAGTGCATTCAATGCTGATTTACATTAGAAGAGCAAACGAATTTGGAACAGTGTGGACCTCATACCTCTAAGCTTGTAAACCTGCCTGCCTTTTGAGAGGGATAAGAAATCTTAGTAGAAGTAGTGCATTTGTGGGACTTCTGCATTGCTATCCAAATAATGTTAGTTATGTGATTCTGTATTGAATGTCAGTTTCTAGGATTACTTGTTTTAACCCTTTCATCACAACATGGTTTTACTATGTCAAGTCCTCAAAAAATCTTTTCTGATTATCTTCAGTCTAAAATTCCCTGTCATCTGGTCCTGTTGCTAAAAACTGTCTTATGCATGCCTGTATTAAGTTCAGGTTTTGTTGTTTGGTTTGTTTTGTTTTCTCTTTATGTGTACATACCTTGTCTTTAGAGACTCCCTGGACTCTCCATCTGAGGAGGGCTCTCAGAAATCTTCCCTCATTCTTTCCTTTCCACGCTTTCCAATCCTTTCTCGTCCTTCACTTCCCAAAGGGTGAGCTGAAAAATCATCTTTCTTTCTGAAATCTGGCTGTTCCTGCATTTGTATTATTGTGCCATCTCCATCTCTTGACCTATGTCTTGCTACAAGAGGCGGAATAGAAGTGCAGCATAAAATGGGAAAAAAGAAGCTTAAGGTTTCTAGACCTTATATCCTGGAGGCAATCCAACAATTTATGAAAATTTATTGCTGTTAGCTTGAATGTTAGAACATGCAAATGCTTGTGCAGTATAGTCACATTTTCCAGTTCTTGTAACATCTAAAATGTTACATTCTGTAAACAATTCCATGTCTAGTTGTGTAGAACAGGTAACGGTGTAAGATTATACATGGGGTTCAAATTTGGAAGTAGTCCCTAGTTACTCTGCTCTTTTTCTGCCCTCCTGCAGTGCTTCAGGAACATCTCCTTTTTATGCTTCATAGAAAATAGGCAAAGAAATAACTTACGTATTTTTCATCCTGGCTTTGTGATTCTGCCCATACTGTTTGTGATGGTGGTTTATCCACAGAGCTCTTTCCATTTGAGACAGCTGGGGAGAGCTATTTAACTCGCGGCCTGACTCCAAGAAATGTAGAGTGATTTTAAACTGAACTTGAGATCACTTTTCAAGGGTTGAAATAGGTCTTGTTGTTGTTAAGAAAAAATTCTCACCATAAAACTCCTTCTGTAGACAAACCCAGGCTGTTACAGTGAATCCTGTTAGAAGGCGGTCTTCATCCAGGATGTCTATGGTAAGGACAGCAAATAGTTTTATTTTTGCATTTTCATGAATTTCATTTGACTCTGAATCAGGCAATACTTTCCTTCAGTGGAACAAAATGAACAGTGAAAAAGATGAGTATAGTATGTGAGGAACTGTTTATGACTTGTAGAAAAAGCTGCTATGTAATATCCAAATTATGGAATTACAGTAATTGCTGTGAAAAAAATTTTAAACACTTCTGGTTTTATTTTGATTGCTCTGTATCTGGTAGACTCTCCTAGATGTCAGATGGCAAGATAAAGTCTTGGGTTGGTGGTGTGTCGTTTTGGTTTTGATTCCTTTTTTTTATTGTTTCTTGTATGACCTCACAGGAAAATCACCTCTGCAGATTTAGAGAAATGGTTTAAGATGAAGGTTTTGTGTGTTTGTGTGTGTATTATACATTACATATTATATATGTATATATAATATTATGCATTACATATAAAAAAATCTTCAAGACATTTTTAAAATAAATCATGAGGTTTTAACTAACAATAAGATGCTTGCTTTCTTAGCCCAAGCCTCAGCCTTATATGATGCCTCCACCAACTCAGCTTCATTACAATGGTCATTATACTGAACCATATGCATCATCCCAAGGTAAGTTCATTAAATCCAAGGCTACAGTACATAAGTTGACAAAGGCTGTAATTTGCACTTACAGCTACTTTAGCTAGAGCTGAATAAAGTCATAGGGTGAACATGGGACATGCTTATACTACAGCACTCACTGAAGTGCATAGAGGCATTTAGGCTAATGTGAAATACAGTCATAGAATCATAGAAGCATTTAGGTTGGAAAAGATCCTTAAATCACTGAGTCCAGCCATTAACCTGAGACTGCCAAATCTTAAGCATGTCCCTAAGCACCATGTCTACATATCTTTTAAACACCTCCAGGGATTGTGACTCCACCACTTCCCTGGGCAGCCTGTTCAAATGCTTGACAGCCCTTTCAATTAAGAAATTTTTCCTGATGTCCAGTCTAAACCTCCCCTGATGCAACTTGAGACCATTTCCTCTTGTCCTATTGCTTGTTACTTGGGAGAAGAGACAAACACCCATCTCACTACAACCTCCATTCAGGTAGTTTTAGAGAGCAATAAGGTCTCTCAGCCTCCTTTTCTCCAGATTAAACACCACAGTTCCCTCAGCTGCTGCTCCTCTATATCCTCTCCTATGGGATGTGAGCAAAGTTAGCTATGAAGCATATACAGCAACTACATATAGACTGTGGTTTCCTGCTGTTTAACTGATCTCATGAGACAAGTACACACCCTGCTGTAGATGTTCTTTCTTTCAGGTAAAGTGGTTTAAGATTGATACGGATTTTGTTTAGCTTGGTCTGAAACTCAGCAAACCTATCATAAGCAGAAGAAAGCCATTCTTACACTGAGATGGTGTTTTCCAGTAGGAATTTGCATCATCTAAATGAACATAATAGGTTATTGTGGTATAACCTTCATTATCCACAGCGAAAAGCTGGGATTGTTTTGGTTTGGGGTTGGGTTTTTTTTTCCTTTCCATTTCAATACATAGCTAAGAATAACTGAAATTTTGAAAATTGAAACATTAGTTAGCTATATCTTAATTGAAAGATATCTTTGTTTGATGTCTTGGACATATTGTTCTTAAACTTTACTTTCAGATAACCTCTTTGTGAGCAATCAGAATGGATACTACTGTCACTCTCAGACTAGCTTGGATAGAGCCCCTCATGACTACACTGGTCGGATCCGCAATGGTAGTGTCTATAGTGCACACAGCACGAACTCCTTGAACAATCCACAACATTACTTGCAGCCATCCCCCATGTCCTCTAACCCAAGCATTACTGGAAGCGATGTCCTCAGAACCGATTATGTACCATCTCATAGACATAGCGCACTAATACCACCCTCTTATCGTCCCACACCAGACTATGAAACTGTGATGAGACAGCTCAACAGGGGAATGGTGCACACAGATAGGCAGAGTCATTCAATGAGAAATCTTAACATCAGCAATTCATATGCTTACAGCAGGCCTGATGCCTTAGTTTACAGTCAACCTGAAATACGAGAACATGCTCACTTTGCTTCACCACAGTCTAACCATTATCCATTTAACCTGAACTACAGTTTTCACAGTCAATCGCCCTATCCCTATCCTGCTGAGAAGCGCCCAGTTGTTGGGGCAGTCAGTGTGCCTGAGTTGACAAATGTGCAGCTCCACGCTCAGGACTATCCAGCACCAAATATAATGAAGACCCAAGTCTATCGACCACCTCCCCCATACCCGTACCCAAGACCTGCAAATAGTACTCCAGACCTTTCACGACATATCTACATTAGCAGCAGTAATCCAGATCTTATCACAAGGCGAGTGCACCATTCTGTCCAGACGTTTCAGGAAGACAGCCTGCCTGTGGCACATTCTCTTCAGGAAGTCAGTGAACCTCTAACATTGGCACGCCATACTCAGCTGCAGAAAAGGAACAGTATTGAAATAGCAGGCTTGACTCCCAGCTTTGAAGGAATAAGAATTAAAGAGAGGACCATGTCAGCTTCTGCAGCAGATGTGGCTCCTCCAAGAATTATTTCAGAAGGGTCACAGCCCAACATTCTGATGGAGAGAACAAAGCCAAAAGAAAGTAAGCAAGAAGAGGGTGTAAACTGTGATCATAAGAAAACCCTTTCAGATGCCACTATGCTGATTCACAGTAGTGAGGAAGAAGAAGAATTTGAAGAAGAAAACAAGGCTAGTACAAGCCTTTCTCCCCTCCCTGAAGATGAAACTCAGCTTTCATCTGTTATGCGTGGTTATTCTCGTGATTCAGTACTCAGCTACCCTTATAGCTCTGTTGCTTCGTCTGCTGGCCCTTTGCATATTCTTGAGCCTAAATTACATGTTACAGAGACAGAAAAGAGAGTGAAAGATATAAGCCCCTTTCATTTACTAGTAGAAAATCAGGTACAGAGAAGAGGGGAAGGACTGCTTACTCCGTCTATGTCAGAATCTGATCTTACAACATCAGGGAGATACAGAGTAAGGAAAGATTCATTAAAGAAGAGACCTGTGTCTGATCTTTTGTCTGGGAAGAAGAATATTGTGGAAGGCCTTCCTCCACTAGGTGTAAGTGGATACAATTCCTCTTGTTTCATGTTGTTCTGTAGCAGGAGTTTGTCCAGGTTTGTTTAAGGATTGGCATTTTTTTAATCAACCTGAGATGCTTTTAAAATGTGGATTAAAAGCTAACTTAACCTTTATGTTCCTGCTTTTCCATGATTAACTTTGCCTAGCCATGTATGAGTTGTTTTATATTTCCCCTGCCCCCAAATCCAGCTGTGCAGCTTCTGTCCATCTGATACACCTAACCTGGCTAGTTTAAAATCAGTTCATAGATCGCAAATTCTGCCATACCATTCCTTATCTGGAACAAAAGTAATTCTTTTCATTCCACTACCAGCTTTCTAATCTTCCTCTCACTGAAAAATTGGATGTAACTGAATGTTTACATTTTTTAATTTGTTTGCTTTCTTCTTCTGACCTAAAAGAGGGACCTGACACATTAGGCAGTAAATTCTTTCCTTGCATTCTCTTCTTTCCTCCATTGCTTCCTTTTTCACATCTTTTCCCATTTGCTTCTCTTCAAGCTGTTTTTTATCCCACTAAAGGTAGGATCTTGCTTACTATGTCTCTTTCCAACTCCTGTCTTTTGAAGCCATAATAGTAAACAACTGCAAGTTTCACCTTCCCTGTAATTCTCACCTCATAGAAACATCAAAATCTGTGTGGGACTGTACAACTTCACTGGCACTCCTTACCACTCGTTTTGTTTTCAACTTCTGTTCAGTTTTATGTAGTCTGTGACACATACCAGGTGCTAACGGAGGAAGACCACTGTTGTTATTATTTCACTTTTTAGAACTGATTGCTAACTTTGCCTGCCTGAGTTAGTGTCAAGTAGTTTTCTGCACAAATTGGACTGCAGTGGACCTATCATATAACTTCTACTGCTGTAGTAACTGCTACAGCTGATGCTGCAAAACTAATTATTCAAAAGCTATGTATTTAGATAGTTCCTGCTGTCACTATATTCTGTCTGTCAGACTTCCTGTACATGGAGCTGCATACTTTGAAATGTACCCCTATCAGATTCAATTAATTTTATAATTGTGTGTATTTATCTAAATCTCCTTCCTACTCTTTGGTACATAGATACAGGTGGAAAAGGTGATATCTTTCTCCTTGTGTTCCCATTTAGATAGTCACTTAGTATTTTATTCTTCAAAAGACACATTTTCAGACACGAGTGTGTTTATATAAATCATACCCTGCCTTTTCCTTCTAATACCTATGTAAATGTTCAGGTCAACCTTTGAAATTACGTTAAAACTTTTTAGCTGGAAATGTTCAATAAAATGTTCAATAACATTTAAGAGTTTCATTGCATAACACAGAATATTACCTTTCTGTATTCAATATTAAGATGAATATCCTGGTAACAAAGTTGCCCCCTACCAATGTTTATACATTTTGCTTGTCAATGAACTCTGTCATGTTTTTTTTTCACTTTTAAATGTGGTCTCATGCTCTTAGCTTTGTCTTCCTATTCCTCACTACCATTTAGGTTTTGAACTCATTGATTCTCATTCAAGCAGCACATTCACTCACATTTTCAGTGTATTTTTAATAACCAAACTTATCAACTGCTAAGTTCTCTTACACTTTTTAAGAATAATTTTTTTCTTTCATAAAAATCCCCCTTTGGTATTTTTCTCAAAAAATGAATGTTAACTTCAATAATTTAGATTCATGGCCTGATTCAGGGCTCAGATCTGTCTGCAGTTCTGTGTTCATGTTCTGTATGTGCAGTTTGCTGCAAGCTTAGTCAACCATTTAACTATATCCAAATATCTTAAAGCTATATGTTCATTGTTATGCCTGCTTGTAGAGAAGAAAAGTGCCTGCAAACTGAATAGTAAGGAATAGTAAAAAATATTTTTTATGCATTTTTTGGGGTTGGAAAGCGATTTCAGTTCTGTCCAAGAATGTTAATTACACAGGGTTGTCACCTCACACCCTTGGTTGTGAGCTTTGTGGGCATTAATATTTGTCATTCTCATGGAGGTCAATTAACCTGTGTGGAATGAAACCAGACTTGTGCTGTGTCCCTGGAGGAATGTAGTCCCACCACCCTAATCTCTTACTGCAATGCTTAGAGAAAAAAAAAAAAAGTGAGAGCTGTTTGCAGAAGGGGTCAAAGAAGTATCCTTTGCTTACTTGAACTAATTTGGTTTCTGCTTTATGACTTCATCAGATATTTAAGAATATTTACAAGTTTTAGCTTTTATTTTACAGGGTATGAAAAAGAACAAAAATGATGCAAAAAAAATAGGGCCTCTAAAGCTAGCTGCCCTAAATGGACTAGCTTTGACTAGAATGCCTCTGCCAGATGAGGGGAAGGAAGAATCAACAAGAGCAACAAATGATGAACGGGTATGTTGAAGTTCTTTAATGCTTGATTTCTCTTTTATACTAATGATTTTAAAAAGTGAAATGCATGTGAGTGGTACTTTGTGTTGACTTTAAAATGCTTCAAACTCAAAGCAACTCAAATACTGAGACAAACAAAAGAATGAGACTACTGATTGGTAAGTGAATGCTGGACATATTGCGTGTAACTCTTGATTTTTCTTTAAGATGACAGTGACTGAGATTATAATTCACTGTTCGAACATATGGGAAGTAAATTATATCTACTGATACATTTTGGTGCCAAGTCTTTCTGTTTTCTCCCTTAATTTTGAGGTTTTTCCAGACTGAAAATTAAAATTTGGAGTGTGAGATTGGATTTAGCTGAAATTATTATTATTCATAACATTTTTACAATAAATTTTATAGTTAAATTGCACCCACAGGGTACTGCTTGTGTGGATTGTATTTATCTGTTTTCCTTGGGTGGATCCCTGAAGATACAGATGGAACTTGTGTAGTGTGCAGAAATTTTACATTCAGTAAAAGATCTCACACCACTGAGAGGACATTAGGTTCTGATTAATTTGAGGATCATTCTTTGAGAAATACTTCATCTGCTTGCGCCAGGGTAAAAAAAAGGTCACTAAATATACTTCATCCTGCCTCATATACCATTAAATAGGTGCAGGAAAGTGAAATTGAGTCAATATCCAGCCTGTGGAGGGCTATGTAGAACAGTGCTTTCATCACATATCTGACCAGGGTGCAATTAGATGCATCAAGTTCTGCAGTGATTATTGTATGTTCTGCGACCAGTGGTCTCTTTAGAATGTGGTTCTGAGCATAGGTCGGCACCCTCAGCTGCAGACCCCCTCTTGCTCAGTTTGTTATCAGTCACTGGACAGAGGTTAGAACCTGAATCATAGAATCATAAAATCAACTAGGTTGGAAGAGACCTTTAAGATCATCAAGTCCAACTAAAAGAACAGGCCAAGTCTTGCCAGCTGCAGTTTTAAGGAACAGGCCAAGAAAATTATTTGCAAGTCACACAGTGGAAATTCAGTCTTGGAGTTTGAAGTCTTGGAGTGAGATCCATGGGAGGAAGATTCAACTGTTCCATTTCAACATAGTTGAAATTTTTTTTGAACTATATATATACTTCTTAAAATATGCTAAAGGGCAAAAATTAACGTTATGTTATTGAGATACAGTTCTACATTTAGTACCTGAGTTGGTTACTTCTTACTTACAGCCATCATCTCTTCCTGGATTGACTTTTATTGAATTCAGCCATGTTATCATTCAGCTAGCTCTGCCCAAAGTGTTGAGGTAAAAGAATAATCCATAAAGTCAGGTTATGAAGAAGACATGACACTACAGTCTCATCAGGCAGTAAAGTGGAGTAACTACCATGAAATGGGAGTAGTTCCTAAAACAGTTGAGAAGAGGCAATGCAAAGTAGGCATATGACACAAAGTCCAAACTGCAGATATTTTAGAAGATGACTTTAAATTTGATTCACTGCCTGTTTCATTGCTCAGCTTCATACTGTTATCAGTTTAAGTGAGGGAATTTCACTTAAAGATCATAAAGGAGTTTGTATAATTGATGTATTGATGTGCAAATTGTGTATGATTGAGGTTTTACACCTTCCTCTGCAACATTTGGCTTTACAGTTACTTGATACAACTTTTCTGACCTGATACCACAGAGCAGTTGCTGTGAGAGGCTGGAGATATGTGACATAGATGAAATTTTCTGGCTGTAATCTTACATATTATTCCTCTAATTACTGTTGGCAAAGAGATGCTGAAATTCCAGATGTGTCTTATGATTCAGAAAGAACTTGGTTTCAAAAGAATAAATTGGGTGAGTGGGGGAAAGGGAGGGAGCAGCTTATTAAATGAAATGGAGTCATACTAGTAAAAAATTCTGGGGTTTATATCTCAGCCACAGCAAGAGGTTCTAAGAAGGCTTTGCGACTATATGCAGAGTTTATTATCTTCAGCTTAAGAAAATGTGGAATATTGGTAGTGAATTACCAGCTCATTGACAAGTGTTTTTAGAGTAATATTTGTAGAGTTTTTCTCCATCCAAATGACAAAGCTGACAATATTTTTTTTGATTACAAATTTAAAGGAGACCTTTTCAAATCATGTAATCTAACACGCTATCTTGAGCCAGAGGATTAACGAGTATTTCTTGTTCAAAGGTATTTGAGGTGGTCTGTAGTATAGCATAGCTATCTGGTTTGGCCAAATACTTTTTGCCCAGCTGGGTTGTCTTTATAGAAACTGTGAAGTAATCTTTCTTTCACCAGTGGTATCCACAGTGTTTGTGACCTAACGAAATATAACAGGATAACAGGCTTCTTGGTTTGCACTTGAACAAAATTCCTGCTGGTTAGGTTTGCTTCTAATTTATTCTGGTATGTTTGTGAAAACATTAATAGCTGGAAAAGCACTGAAAATATGTGTAAGAGAGGAAAACACATATGTTTTATACTTCATGAATTCTCTGTTAAAATAGACTTGCCTTGGGATGTGACTTTATATGGTTATTTGTGTCTGTCTTTCAGTGTAAAGTTCTGGAACAACGGTTAGAGCAGGGGATGGTGTTTACGGAGTATGAGCGCATTCAGAAAAAAAGACTTACAGATGGTGAGTGCTCGATAGCTCGGCTCCCTGAAAATGCTGAAAGAAATCGGTTCCACGACGTGCTTCCTTATGATGATACCAGAGTAGAGCTAGTCCCAACCAAAGAAAATAACACGGGTTACATCAATGCATCTCATATCAAGGTGAGAGAAATACTGTTGAAGAAACATTTTCCGGTTCATGTGGTAACTAAAAATGGATTTGGCTATCAATTTTGGTTCGGTCAGATGAATGAAAATCCCTCCATCTCTCTCTTTCCCTTCTTCTGCAGAGGTTTCTTTGGGGAAAGGCGCAACCTATTTTTCCTCATTACCTAGAATAACAGAGGGCTAATTATTGGAGAGGTCTTGTGCATTTCACTTCTGTATTGATCTGCTGTCTCTTTTCTCTCTGGGTTGCTGCTAACAGAAGGCATATCCATTCTTTGCAGAGTTAAGAAGGCAGATAGCTTTATAACAAGCTGGGGTCCTTTACAATGATTGTTATATTTTTGAACTGCAGTACCAATAATTATTTCTTCTTTTTCTGTACTCTTTGACTTGATCCACAACAGGCAGTATGCCAGCTCCCAGCTTAAGCCTTTTTGAATGGTTAGAGGAACAGATGGAGCCAAGGGGAAATCTGCTTTTTCATTATCTTCAGTTGCCTCCTTTCCCCAGCTTTAGCTATTTAAAAGTGAAGTTGCAGGGTGACCTCAAGAATGATCAAAGCATTTTGTTCATTTTTCAATGCATTTACCTACTTGAAGCACAACTACAAATACAGTTGGCTTCATGTTTTATCTGAAAAGAGATTATCAAAGCAGCAGTTGCAGTTGTGTTGCTGTCTTTTTTTAATCCAACTGACATGATACCATAGTTTCTATACTTCAACTAATTCACAAATGTTGAGTAACTCTTCTGATCCTTCTCAAACAAGATAATGTTTTTTGAGGAGTAAGCTAATTCTGACTCTTTAGTGCATGAAATGGCATTTACAGCACCAGTGTATGAAAGCTTCTCAAAATCCCACTTCACTAGAATACCTTAAGGTTGCAAAAAAGAAATACAATTTTATTAACTCACTTAACAGTATGCTTGTGATGTAAAATGCATTTATTTAGCTATGTGCCTATACAATTTTAAACATTGTGTCTCTTCTGCATCTAATGTGACAAGATGCAGCTAAAGAATGGGAGGTAGATATAACAATGGGCTCCTACTGCTGCAGTGTTGCTGTCGTTTTTCAGTTTGTGCATCTTGATATGGCTGACTTAAGAATCAGAGAAAGGGATTTTTGGTAATTACTAAGCTAATGTCTTTCTTTTACAGGTCTCTGTTGGAGGCACAGAGTGGGATTACATTGCTACACAAGGTCCTTTGCAGAATACATGTCAGGATTTCTGGCAGATGATCTGGGAACAAGGGATTGCCATCATAGCTATGGTGACAGCAGAGGAAGTGAGTACAAACTGAGTCAGGTTTCTCCCAGAAAGTCTGCAGTGTTTTTGTTACGATCTGTTAGTGGAAGGGGATCTTTGCTCCAACAGGAAGACCAATCAAAGACGAATTTCTAGTGACCCATTTGCCATGTCCTTGGCAGAAAGATGTAAATTTGCAAACTCTTTCTGCAGGAAAGTTGGTTTACTCATTGAGAAACCATAACGCTGTAGTAGTACATAATAGAGGAGAGAAACAGTTCTTATAGGAGTATTAGCTGTACGAGTGTTCTTACGTTTCTTATTAAGCAACTATTTTACTTTTAAGGAAAGTGGGCGAGAAAAAAGCTTCAGATACTGGCCACGTCTTGGTTCAAGACACAACACTGTAACCTATGGAAGATTTAAGATTACCACACGATTCCGTACTGACTCAGGCTGCTATGCAACTACGGGTTTGAAGATTAAACATCTTCTCACAGGACAGGAAAGAACAGTTTGGCATCTGCAGTATACTGACTGGCCAGAGCATGGCTGTCCAGAGGATTTAAAGGGATTTCTCTGTAAGTTGTATTTAATAGCTTTGGTTTGGGGTTGTTGGGGTGTTTGAGCTTTTTTTTTGGTTTTATTTTTGTAACTATTTTGCTATATGTGAATTAGCTTTGATCAGTGATGCCAAGCATTCTTCTGAAAAAGGTTTCTTCTCACCAGCAAGAGATACTGAATTATATTTTTAGTAGGAATATACCTGGCAGTTTGTTAAAGTGACTGTTTATGTCTAAAGCCATATATATAATTTACTAAAGGTTCAGATACATTAAAACATAATTGCATCACATACTACACATTTGAGTATGTTCCAGCAGTAGCAAGATGGCTATGAGCCAGCTTTGGTGGGGAATAGGGGAAAAAGGCAAAGAAAGCCTTATGAATGTTAGATGGTCTTTAGAGATCTGTATTGCTTTGCTTGGGATATAACTTGTGATTTATACAGGGTGTTATTTTTCTGTGGGATGTCATTTATTAAATTACTACTTTTCTGATGGTCATACAGTTTAATAGCATGGCTCATGGGGCTTCATCTCCTAATTATTTTATTCTCATCTTGTTGAATTTAATAGCATACTTGGAAGAGATACAGTCAGTGCGGCGCCATACAAACAGCACTGCGGATCCTAAAAATGCCAGTCCTCCTGTATTGGTACATTGCAGTGCAGGTGTAGGACGAACAGGAGTGGTCATACTGTCAGAGATCATGATTGCTTGCCTGGAACACAATGAGGTGATCTCTTTTTCTTTCTCATGCTTCAAGTAATGTTAGGTAATGGATGAATAAATAACCCACCTAATAAATGTTTAATGGCTGTTCATCTGAACTTTCCCAAGATGTGGCCTTCAGAAAAGCCCTTACAACTGTGGTTGAAAGAGCTCTTAGCAATTCAGCAGAAGCTAATAATATTCTAGAGTTGCCCACTTATACACTGGATACTGAATGCTCATTTGGATTATTGACTTGATAAGATATTGAGTCACTGAATAGAACAAGGTATGCCCTAGGCTACTAAGCATATTTCAGGATTTCACCCTGACTTTACCACTTTTACTTCATGCCTTAGTTTTAATGGATAATATTCAAAATATGCTTTGTAGCCAGTCTCTCTGCTTGTTATTAAATATTTTGATCCTAAGTGTAGTGTATTTGCAGTATCAATCTCAGCAGAGGACAAAGCAGTAGATTAACAGAATAAAACCTGGTCCTGTCAGCTTTTAGTGGAAGTGAATAGCTGTAAAGTGTTTATTAATAATGTAATATGCTAGCTGAGACTCAACAAACTGTTTTGTTATGCATCCCTGCCCTAACACTGTGACAGACTTTTGCAACCATTAGATTTGTGAAGAGTCCTACCCCATGACATGGGCAAGTTTAACATTATGCATATTTCATAGATGAGGAAGTAGGCATGGTGTAATGCATGCACAGGCAATGAATTGTTGGAGTTGACATTAGACAAACTGATTCTGCCCTTAGATCACTGGTACTTCTCTGAACCTCCTGCTGACAAAGTGCAAGACAGTCTCCTTACTCACCAGTCACTTTTTAACGGTTTGTTCTCTTCCTCCAGATGCTGGACATCCCACGAGTGCTGGACATGTTGAGGCAGCAGAGAATGATGATGGTGCAGACTCTTTCACAGTACACTTTTGTCTATGGAGTTCTCATTCAGTTTCTCAAAAGTTCTAGACTTATATAGTCCCTGCCACTTCCTAAGGAACACTGCAAGAGTTTACAGAAAGACCACTACAGTTGTCCAGGCAGACCTGCTCTCACTGGTGTTTTCTTCCTATGAGGAATCACACAGTTACCTTTTAGGGTTGGTATGTGACTGTTTAATGCAAGTCAGAGTAACAGTCCCTGCAAAGTAGGATCTTCACTGGACTAAATTCCCATGTTCAGCTGCAGTTATATTAGGGAATGATTTTACTTGTACTGCTCTGTAGTACTTGCATATATTCTTTAGAGTGGTGTTACTCTGGTCAAAATAAGTATATTAGGGAATGGAAGTACATGGCACAATTTTACTAATGTTATTTTTTAAAATATAATTGTTAACTGTTTGAAAGCTAAACTCTGAAAGTGCACATGGGGTGAGAAGCCTGCTCCTTGGGAATGTCAAGGTCTTACGTAGTTTCATTCTGCTTTCAATTTTATATTTAGAACAATACAACTATATTTTTTCAAATGAACTTTTGGTTGCCTCTGGCTTACTCAGAAAAATTAGAAGCTCTTGGATATTTCAAGCTGTTGCTTTAAGGGCAGTTATTTTTATGTTCAGCCTTTTTTAATTAAAAAAACCCAAAACACCACAACCCAAAACTTTTTAAGCAGAATAATATTTTCAGTGAAGACTGACAATCTTTGAACTAACTTTTAAAAAACCAGAAAGAAAGTATTAGGGAGGGCTATTGGTAGTTACTTGTAGCTCCGTGTAATAGAACTGACAAATGAAAGATGATGATAACTGTTAATAACTTTCATTTGAGCGGAGGCATGTTTACCTGCAACAAATGGGGAAAATACTGTAATTATCTACAAGGTTGTTGGAAACAAGTGGATGAGATAAAGTACATATTCAGTATTATTCATATATTTAGAGGACAGTTTGATTTTACTGGCTGAAATCAAAGTGGATGCAAATGTTTTAAGCACTTTTTTTCTCTTGTTATTTATGTAGTTAAACATAGAAATTATAATAACGCATTATTGTTTCTTGCGGTAATATGCCATTACTAACCTGTAATTTTAGGAAGAGCCTTTTAAGTTGATGAAGTGAGAGGATCAAAACTGGAGTAAGAAGGTGCACAGTGGTGAAGTGGAAATGATCATATGAAACATAATGGAGGAGGTGTGGCAGCAATGATTGCTGGTTTACACAGTGCAAAGGTGACCAGTAAAAATGTTTATGTTCTCAGACAAGAAAGCCTTTAAAGCACTGGAAGTTTCTGCAGAATCCTCCACGTTATTTTGTCAGTACTAGAACAGATTTTGCTAGTGCTGTGCAGTGTTGCAATGAAAAATATCCATAGAAGCCGTTTGAGAACACTTGCAGAATGTAAGAGCTCTTAGAGGCGAGACTGGAGATGTGGGTATTTTAGTAGCTGTGTAGGTGGCTGAGTCAATGGCTGTGGCATGGACCTAAAGAGAATTGTACCTCTGGTGGTTTCCGTTTTGTTGTGTGGTCTGGTTCAATGATGGTATCCCTAAATAGTCCTCTGTCTGTGGTTTTCAGATGGGGTCAGTGTGGTTTTTACCTGCCTTCTCAAGTGTTTTGAGATGCTGAGTTGAAAATTCCCGTTCAAAAATTAAATATTGGTTTGTAGATACCTGGTTTATTTTTAAAACAACCCTATGGTAGACCAGTCTGCACACATGTTTAAAAGTGTCCATTTCCCTTGATACCTCCTTAGCAAAATAAAATGAGACTGAAAGTCATTTTTATTATAGGTGAAATTACTTTTTTTTTTGAGCTATAGCGAGGGCTTGGAAACTATTAGGAATAATTAAACCCCCTTCAAGATAATAATTGTCTCACAAAACATTAATTAAGAATTGTAAATAAGTTGCCTCAGTTTCCTCTGTAATAAGCTACTTCCACAAAGGAAAACACATGGTCCAAATGACATTGTGCTAATAGGTCATTCTATATAGGACATATTAGTTTAAAGTACACTGTTATTCTGGTTAATCTAGTGCATTTGGTCTGCTTTCAGGCAGTCCGAATTGTTCTATTCTTACTAAAAGTAATATAGAATATTTCAGATGGGGAAAAAAAAACGTTCTTTTTATAACTATAAAATGCCTATAAAGTGCCAAATGTAAAACTGGAAGTTCAGAGGAAAGCAGTTACTGAAGACATTCTTTTCTATAGAAAGCTTGAAAACAAACCAATCTAATATCTCTGTGTTATCAAAGTATTGAAAGAAACAAACATTCTTAGCTATTTGCATCATGCTGTGTTTTAAAAACCTTGCTAGTTTTTGCCACAGTTCACTTATATCTTCAGAAATATTTTTGAATAGGAAGGTATGCTCTAAAAAGTAGCTCATACCATTTCCACTACTAAACTTTGGACTGATCTTCATAGCCTGCTACGTGCAGCTTTTAATGAAATTATACACAACCACAACTTCAAGCAATAATTTTTAGCAGTTCAGCAGTTACTGGGACAGAACATAAGCTGTGAGACATTAAAAGGAGCAGTTAAAACAAGGGATTTAATCCTAAATTTACGGGATTATCTGAGGTGGGTGAGGAAACGTGTGTCTTCTGGCTTTCTTTTCTGTTCTGATGAAAGAAGTTGTGTTCACATTTAGAGGCAGTTGCTCTTTAATCTGGTAGTCACGGTCTTGATTTGTATTTTTTAAGCATAGCACTGCTACCTCCTCCACTTCAGCCTTCAGTTCTGTCCGTCAGTAGCCCGTGTTTGCATTAACAGACTTGATCTTAACAGACTTGACTTTATGTAAGTTTTCCTACTGAAAGAGGAGGATTGCTTTTGTATGTAAACATATGGCTCCAAGTGAGTAGTGAAAATGAGCAGTTTCTCTTACAAAGATACCAAATGAATATAAACGTTCAAACATCCTGTAACAAAATCAATTTTAAACCCATTGTTTAGATTTTCAGTTAACTTTTAAAAGAAAATCCAGCTTTTAGCACTTTGTTCTGAGCCTTGTAAAGGGATGCTTTTTTACGTGTGGTTTTGCTGAATGCTCCATGAAGTGTTGGACATTTTAAGAACATCCACTGTCCAAATCCAGTCAGAGTGTGAGTCAGTCAGGTGTGGATTTATTTGTCAAAAGAGTAAAATTCCACTATAAGCATGTCCTTTTTTCCAGATGTGCTTCTGTTCCTGTGGGGATGAAGATAGATTGTTATGCAAGATTTGAGCTCTTTTTTTAGTAAGAAAAGTTGTGTGAAGACATTCTTGCAAAGATGATGCTGATCTCTAGGGATGTCAGAGCTCTCAGGGATAAATAAAGGTGCTATATACTGTGAAGAGACAGGATTTGACTGATTTTTTTTTTTTTTTTTTGTGGGCTACGTGGAAAATTACTTCTTAGCCTATGAAGAGTCAGGAGAAGAAGCCACAAGCTGTAGTAAAGGCTTCTGCACATTTGATTCTTTTCTTGGTTGCTCTGATGAGAGATTTTCTGGCTACTGAATCTTTGTGATCTTGGCCTAGCAGCTCTTGTCTGAGCACATGAATCAGAGCCCTGTTCATTGCAAAGATGTTGCTAACTTAACAGGCTTAACTGTAGACTGCAAATCACTCCTCACCCCACTGTGGGAGGGAGAAGCTCTGTGGTACACAGGGGAGTTTTGCAAAGCTTTTCTGCCTCCTGCACAGTAGTTCTCTCCTTTTTCTGCTGTGCCCCACGAAGAGCAGAAAAAGTTTTATGCCTTAGTATTGCTGTCCTGGTGATACCTTTTAAACAAGCAAACAGTAAAGACTGCAAGTGCAGGTTTATGGTTTATATCTAGAAATCTAATTCAAAGCAGGTGAGCAAGGCAGAGTTCTGTGGATGAGAAGCTGCTCTAAGTTATGAACATTTAGAAAAAAGTAAAATGAAGTAATAAGAAGAAAATAAATGTGTACTAAAATGGAAAAAATTCTTGGCATTTTGAGCAATGTATTTTTCGCTCCCCTTGTGATCCCGTGTATCTTTTGTTGAAGTGGATGACATTAGGAGCAATTTTCTCCAAAAATGCTTCTTAATTTTCATAATTAAGACTACCTGAGGCTGCTGCTACATTTTTCTTGTTGGAGCAGCTGAAGTTGAGTGACTCATAGATTTCAGTGGGCTCTGGACCAAACTTGGGAACTGCAGGGTGGTTTATCATACCACCCTGTGGTATGTGGAGTGAGACCTGTTAGCTGTGGAGTGAGACCTCAGTTTTAATATCAGTAGTGTTCCTAAAACCCTGGACTTAAAATTAGTGAACTCATTACTATATTTCAGTAGTTAGTTCAAATTGTTAACTTGAAAAACCCAATGCTTCAATTGCTAAGAACACTGTGCTTTAGGGTCTGGTTGTTTTTCAATACTGCAAAGTCATGCAGTCCAGAGTCCAGTCCTGCAAGATGCAAAATTCTTGCTTCTTCGTACTGTAGGCTTATTGCCAAGGAAAGCTTGAACCCTTAAAGCATGAATACTCACATGTCTGCTTTAAATTTAAATACAGATTACAAGAACTAACCAAAAGAATGCAGCAGGAATGTGCATACATGAAGCTACAGTATTCAAAGTAAAAGCGGCTGAGAGAGTTCGATACACTTTCTCTTGTGAAAGTACAAAATGTTGGAAGCAGAGAGTGAGGATTTGAAGAATGGCTGAAGGCATTTGGAGGAGGATTTGGAATGTTTTGTATCTGCAGTAGAGCTGCTAGGAGCGTTTGATTCATATGGTATGTTTGTCTTGGCATGGTAGGGTAAATTAATATGTAGTCATAGGTGTTATTTTTACTGGCTTTTTAAAACGTGATTTTTATTTTTTTTTTTAAATTACAGATATTTTTTGCAGAGGTTCCGTTATTTTTACACATCTTCCTTTCCAAATGTATTTAATTCAATCTGTCAGCTCAGTTTCTGTTTACTTATTAAAGGTCAGATTTTCAAACCACGGTCTTTGGTTTTACACATGCAAAATGCCAGGGGAATAGGCATATATGCAACTTTGAAGTGGTAATTTCTAAATGGATGCAGGTTAGATGATTTCAAAGTCTAAATACCATATGAATGCAGCCAGGTGTTTACAGTAGGCGTGAACTGAACCAAGTTAAGGCTGGGCTGAAAATCAAGCCCTTGAAATGTGGAATTTAACATGTGCTTAGAAGGTGTGTTGTAGTACAGCATTTGCAATACAGTGATATTAAAATGATATAATACTGTGTTAAGGGAAAAAATGTTAAAACTTCTGACACTTGTTGTAAACATATTTGTAAAAATATTTAAAATAAATAAAAAATTCATAGTGAGATCCTGTTGGGGACCAGCTAACTTGGTGCATTCTGTTGGCACATGTTATTTTAAGGTCTACAGGGGCTGAAAAAAAAAAAGGTTTTGTTAACTTCAATGAGCATTTCAAAAGACAGTTGCTAAATGGCCTTTGGTTCTATTCTTTGCTATTTTCCACATGATGCTGTGTTCAGTGGTGAAGAATAACCTCCAGTGTATTTGTTCTTTAGAAGACTATTCTTCGTCTCTAATTAGGGAATGAAGCTAGAAATCAAATGCAAAGAATCTAATGAATAGAGTTTACAACAGGTCCAGCCTGTGGCAAGTTAGAGAGCAAGTCTGTAGATACTATAACGTTAGTTTGGTTCAGAAATGTGGCAATCAAAACTACCAAATCATTAATTTTATGAGCACAGTTTCAGAAGGTGCCTAACTTTTATAAAGGGAATTTAAATGCTGTTTTTTTCCAGTTGGGAATATTTAGGTAGAATTAGGAGACTTTAAAAATACTTCAAAGACTGCAAGAAAACCTGATGGGAGAAAACTCTGTAAAAGCCCTCCAGACTTTCACCTTGGTAATCCTGGATAATTCTGACAGACAGGGTTTATATGCTCTTTACAAAGATATTTTGCTTTGAAATACCCAACATATCTGTCCTCTTTATGGCTGATCTGGGGGGACTTGGATGGAAATTGCAGAGGCTTGACCTGGCAGAGCAGTAAGTATGTGCACTCCTGCACACTGCTGAAATCTCTTCATCCAGTCAAAGCAAATGGGTGTTTGAAGTCCTTTCAGCAGTTCTGCAGAATTGAGTCCTTAATGTCAGAGGAATTCAGGATCTGGCTCCATTTTCTTCCATTTTCACTTAAGCCAGTATGCAAGGATTTAAATGGGACTTTGTTTAAAGAGTAGCAAACATGAAGTATTATTATCTAGTACTAAGCTAGCAGTTAACATGTCTGTTTTTGCTGTCTCGCCACCAATACTGTAAAAATGTATAATCAAAACAGCTTTAATTCTTGTAAAACTGAAATTGGTTTGTAAAACTATGTACAAATTGTGTTTCATAGACAGAAAAGCTTGTATTACTGAATGTAATATATGTGAAATGAATATATTATAGTCTATTTTTGCCATGGAAATAAATATTTGAAGCAAGTATGAGGTTTTCTTGTTCCATTATTAAAAGAAAAAAATCGGATAACTTAGTTTTCATGTGTAGTCCTAGGTTGGGACTTTACCTTCCATACACAAAGGTGTTTTATCCCTCTGGTAAAGCACTGCAAGTACTGTCCTGTATCTCAGTACGAATATAAAACTTGTACTTTCAAATGCTAATAGCTGACATCTTTGTGGCAGGAAGGTTTTGTGCCTGCTACCATAGCATTATTGTTTATAGTGATCTGCATTTTCTAAAGCTATTTTTAGTATTGAACAATTTCCCTGTAGCCTTTAAGTGAAGGGGGGGATAAAAAGGTTTTGAGAGTTGAAAAACCCTTTCCAAAAACATGTGAGAGGAAAAAGTTCATGGTATACTTACATACTATCACTGGAGCTGCTACGAATAACTAACACTGAAGTTTTTCTTCATTTTATAATTGATATTTAGTCAAAAAGTGACGTGGTGCCAGAGGTTTGCTGTGTAACACCTGGTGTAGCACAAGACCTCATCACGTCATGATAAATGAATTGCATGTTGGACATTGCAATTTCAGAGCGGACATTTGCATTTCCCTTGGTTTTGCTAAATGCCTAATGCACTGACCACTGAACTACATCTGAAATGACTGCACTTTTGACTAAAATCTGTCTTCTAGGTATGCTCAATTTGGTGGCTTTAATGAACCTCAGGTAAGACAGTAACATACCATCTACTTATGTACTTGTCTGATCAATTCCCAAACGCTGGGTACTGAACCCTATGCAGTGTTCAAGTGTGAGCAAAACTCTTACTACTTGATATGGATTCAAAATCAGAAGAGGGAAATGTACCTTCTTGGGGTTCTAAGGACGTGGTAAAACCACTCAGGTATTCTGATCAGTCTTACTATTTATAAGGGGTTTAGACCTGAGGCAAAGGTCTCTTAGAAACCTGAATTTTTCCTAAATCTGAATTGCTTTAAACTGTAGCTGTCCTTTTCCAGCTACTGTAGAATCCACAATACAGCCTTCTGGTGGCCAGAGCTGGCTGGCAGGGAAGTGGCTTGACTCTTGGATTTGGCACATCTGACCAGCAGCTTTCTTGGGCAAGAGCTCTAGGACTTGGTACAAGAGAAACTTAGGGGAGCTGATGAGAGAGGTTCCTAGACTAGGGTCTTGACCAGGGGAACTTGATTAGTTCTCATTCCAGATTTAAGCAACCCTGACAGCTGAATGGCTGTGGATAGATGGAGGTTACATGAAACTCAACAATGCTAGGTACCTAGCTGGAAGTTTTACCTCTGACAGTTTCTCTGTTTAGGATCTGATGGGGGATTTCTTATACCCACTCCTTTTCCCTGGGGGGTCAATGACAGCATATAAATGTGTGTTCTCTCTCTCCACTATTTTTATGAGCATCCCCTGGAAGGCTGGACATGAAATGAAGACTGCATGAAAGCAGAAGCTGCCCAGTGCCACAGAAACATTGCCAGTTTACCTCCTGCAGCCTGAGAACTACTTGTGGATAATCACAATCAGTGAATATGATGGGAATGTCAGTTATGCAGGTACTGACAGGAGATGCTGCTGCAGAAAAGCTGGAGTGAGGACTGGGTGATAGGTGAATGCTCATCAGCTCTGATCCAAGTAAGTTATTTCATATTGCTGTATATCCCATTGGCTTAGTCTGGCTCTTGGGCAAGTGGAACCTTCTGCCGTCAGCACTTGGGGTCTGTGGCACCAGTGGAATGTAACGCTTAGGGAAATGGTGGTTCTGATACTTAAAAGCTATTTCTGTTGTTACTACAGTTGCTTTAAACTAGGATATGGGTGAGCCTGGGACTATTTTACCACAAAATGGCTTTATCTTTCAGAGCTACACAGGGTTAAAGACGTGTTG